AGTTGTAATTGTGAAATTATTAAACAATGTTATTAATACCACATGCAAGTAGAATATTGCTGAAGATTATTCAAAGAATACTAGCGCAGTACTTTGCTTTTTGTTTTGTCAGGGAGTTTTTGTTGATTATTTTTTTTATTTTGGATTGTTTGTTTGTTTGTGCAGTACTTGTGCAGTAAACTGCCAGTACTTTGGCAGGGGAACTGCCAGAAATTCAGAGTTCAGAAGATTATGAGGAATAAGGAATATCACGGCTGATATCAGAAGGATCTTAGCTGAAGGCAGAGAATATCAGAAAGATGTTTACTTGTGTTTTATTAACTGTGTGAAGGCATTCAATGATGTGGATAATATTGTGAAGGAGGGGTAATTCTGGAACACTTAACTGTGCTCATACGGAACTGGTACATGGATGAAAAAGCAGTTGTTGGAACAGAAGGGAATATTGCAAGGTTTCATATCAGGAAGAATGTGTGTCCGGATTGTATCCTTTCACCTATTCAATCTGCATGTTTAGAAAAATGATTCGAAAGGCCTGTCTGTCTGAAGAAGAAGGCAGCGTAGGATTGGAGGAAGACTCAGCAGCAGCCCGTGTTAAACAGATGACACAACCTCGCTTGCTGAAAGAAAAGAGGATTTCTTGCCCTTTCTGACAAAGACGTAAGCCTTCAGTATGGATTACACCTTCGCATCAAGAATACAACCCCCCTCACCTCTGAATCAATGAACAGCATCCTAAGGAAGAGAGAACAGCTTGACGTTTCAATGATTTCATCTTACTTGGTTTCTTAAACAGCACCAGGGAAGTGGAAATTCAAGAAATCAAAGGACAGAATCAGCATAGTCAAGAAATTCTGCTGTCAAATCATGGCATTTTCAGTTACTTCCTATGATTTTGAATGTTGAACAATTAAAAACAATGGGAGAAGTACTGATACCTCTGAACTGCAGAATTGATAGTGAATGTCCCATATACTGACAGAATCATAAACGAATCTGACTTGAAGATGTGTACCTAGAGCACCTTAGGAATGAACATTGTGAAACTACATCTGACTCTAATTATCAACCTTAGTACCAGCAGGCAGAAAATAAGGAGATGCATTGCACTGGGAAAATCTGCAGTTAGGGATCTCTCCATATTATTGAGGAGTAATGATGTCCATTTGAGGACTAAGGTGTGTCAGATTCAGGCCACAGTCTTTTCGATTACTCGCTATGCATCTGAGAGCCAGACAGTGAATAAGGATGACAGAAAAAGAATTGATGCCTTTGAGTTGTGGTGTTGGAGAAGAGCACTGAACATCCCACACACAGCCAAGAGAACAAATGATATGTCTTGGAAAGAGTGCAGCCAGAGTGTTCGTTGGAGGCAAGAATGATGGAGCTTTGTCTCACATACTTTGGACATGTTGCTAGGAGGGGCTTTTCCTTGGAGAAGAACATGATGCTTGGAAGGCAGAGGGTTGGCGAAGAAGAGGAAACCCTCAGCCAGGTGGATTGACAAAGTGACTGTTGCAATGGGTTCTTTTGTGTCAGGAAGTGTGAGGATGGCGCAGGACAGAACAGGGTTCGGATCCTCTATTCTTAGGGTCACCATGAGTGGTACTTGACTTGATGATGCCTAACGTCATCATCTCATCTTACATACTTTGGGCATGTTGTCAGGAGGTGACAGTCCTTAGTAGAGGACATCTGGCTTGGAAAGCTGGAAGGGAGGTGAGGAAGTAACTCAAAGAGATGGACTGACATGACTGCGAGGGTGGCTTTAAGCACAGGGACTGAGAGGATGATGCAGGCTCAGGCACGGGGCTTTCGTCTGCTCTATGCAGGTCTGCTCTATGCAGGCTTGCTAGGTGTCCCAGTCAAGTCAACAGGACCCAACAATAAGCACCAGAAGGATAAAAAAACACTAACAGCGCTAAAACACAAGAGAAAGTTTCCGATTCTGGAAAAAGTACACCTTGCCTTCTCATTCTTTTCTTTCTCTGGTTGGTTATTTGTTTTGGTTTGGTTTTTTTCCTTAATTTTATTATTATTATTATTATTATTATTATTATTTTGAATGACAATTTCCAGAGATTTTGGATTTCCGTTCATTCATTGTTGCACTTTTCTCCCCACCCACCCCTCCCTTCTAGTTCATTCTTCTTTTTGAAAAGAAAAATTCTTTCATTGTTATACAATGGCTCCCCCCAAGGCCGCTGCATTCTCATTCTTATTTCATGATAAAGCCTTTCTCTTGGAGTGTAATACCTTCCTTATAAGGCATCTCTACAGGGGATGGAATGCTTACACATGGTACGCCCACTCACTCACTTCCTTCCCCACCTTGGGATCAGTAACAGAAGCCAGGAAAGACCCTCTTTGGTTCTGAGTGAGGGGCAGGGTGACCACTCCAAGAGCACATGCCCTTGTTTGTAGACGACCCTGTGGAGACCCGCATGCAGTGACTCGATCATAAAGCCTACAGCACAGATACCTAACGGAGTAGATGAAGCTGCCACACAAAAACCACGCTCCTGCCGCTCAAAGCTACTTGGACTCTTGGGCACGTGTCTCAGCACCCCTGCTGCACAGCGGCTGAGGAAAGCGGTGCTGCCAACAGCCATCTGTGGTGACAGGACTTGGAAGAGGAAAGGGGTGAGGACGGTGCTCTCTTTCCTCCAAGCCTGGCGAGGATACTGCTAATGTCTTTTTGGAAGAAAATTGGAGGCTCAAGGATCTTCACTAAAATTTTTGGTCTAAAATTTTAAAGCGAAATTCCCTCTGCCAAGATATTTATAGAGAATGTTAAAGAAGCTATTTAGATGTTAGAAAGTGAAGCTTACAAAAGGATGTGCCTTCAGGTCAGGACCTTAGAACTGATTATGACCTTAGACGATCAGTGTTAAAGCTTGACTTGAAGATGGCTGCCTTCTCACCTCCCCAAACCACTGGACTCTGGTAGCTAAGACAGGGACTCACTCTGTAAGAGTCATCACAGGATGGGTTCCAGCAGGGATTGGAGTGAGCTCCAAACTAACTCAGAATAAAGAATATTTCTTTTGCCAGAGGGTCATGATTTGGTGCCTAAATTTGCTAATTGAGTTCTTAAGTCCTCTGAATCCCAGGCCAGCCAACCACATTGGCCTTCTTAATCCTTCCAAGTTCACAGGCAAGCCTCAGAACTCAGACCATAATCTACACTCACAAACCATCGTTAGCGGTATCTGAATGCTACTTCTACATTATGTCTTACAACTTTATCCTTTCTGCTTCTTAAAGTTCCTCAAACTCAGAAAGCACAATGCAATGCAAAACAACCTCAAACTCATTGCCATGGAATCAGAACTCACTTCACAGAACTGGCCCTGCATTTATTTGGGTCTCAAGGGAGGAGACTGCAGCTGGTGGATTTGAACACCTAAAAGGGGTCTGTCTTTTTTTTTTTCCGCATTTTATTTTATTTTATTTTTTTCTATAATTATATTTTATTAATTTTCATAAACATTTACAGAGATTTTGGGCTTCCACTCATTCATTGTTGCACTATTCTCTTTGGGGTCTGTCTTTTGATTAGCAGTAAGTCTGCAATGTAAATCCCGTCATCTAGGATTTCTGTCACAAATTTGTCCCACCATTAAGTTTACATAATCATCTAATGCTAGACCCAGTGACGAGAGTCCCAGCGGTCTAGTCCACAGAGAAAGCACTGTTAATCCAAGGGCTGTTCATATCCACCAGCAGAAGGAAGACGGCCAGTCTCCTCCAATCTGCAGCCTCAGAAAACCAACTCACGGTCAGTAATGAGTCAGTTACAACTCAATGGAACTACATTGAGTCCCAGAGAAAAAAGGAGCCTGCCTTCCAGTACATTCTTGCAAAGTTGCTGTTTCACAGGTAACATAGATGATCAGAGAGATCATTTGAAGGCACGAGAAATAGAGCAGAAAAGAAACAAGCCCTGGGAGACCTCTCCAAGGAAAGCGAACTTTTCATTGCATTTTTAATGTCAGTAAGAAACTTGGTTAGAACGTACTGTGAAGGTAATAATGCAGTTTGTGGTTTGCTAAATGACTTTTTTCCTCTTTGGAAAATTTAATTCCATTAGGGTTTTTTTATTAATTATTGGCACACTTTGTTGTTAAGGAGAATTTTTTCCCTATAAAAAAATAATGACATTTTAGAAAAGTAATATGTTTTCATGCCATTTTCAGAAAAAAATGAGATAACTATAGACATTCCTACTTTTTATTCAGCATTTAAGTCTCATTATAAAGAAAAGTTGTAGGAAAGGAACAAAGTCCTTTTAAAATGTCACCTAACTTTCCTTTTGGTCTGTTACAAACCGTAATGGCCCCATTTAAAGCAGGAAGCTGAGGGTGATGTCAGGGTATTATCAAGACTGTTACATGAGCAAAGATAATTTAAAGAAATTCTCAAATAGCGGAATCCATTTTAAACGCCTCTTGTGATCTAGAAGGAAGAAAAGCTTTGCTGAGCAGAAGTTGAGAAAGATTTTTCTCATTCCGAAAGTTTGCAGGTATTAGAAGAAGAAGGTGGGGGAAAGTAATTTACCAAGTTTGTCATGTTATTTATAGAAAATACTTATATGAAGATATTTTAGCTAGATTTTGTAAGAGAAAACTTTCTCTACAAATTACTCACTCGTGCCTGTTCATGAGTAAGCTAATTATAATGTTAAACTTAAGAATTTGATTTTAGATCAAGTTTTTAAAAATGACACCTTAGAAAATGGAATTTTTATTTTTATCTGAAAGCAAGCTCATTTTGGAGCACTGTTTACAACTTTTTTTCATTAATTAGTTTTCTCAATTTGGAATAGTATTTCCAGAACTAATTAAAAGTTCTTTCTAATGAATAGTCAAGACCAAAATATGTTATCTCTACCGTACAGCATATAAATTTTTAAATCATCCATAAAGGTAATTCTATTTCATATGTTTGTGAAAAGTCATATATTGCTATTGATGCCAAATTGGTGGTTTGCTTCGTAGGCCATGATTGAAGAGGCCATCACCAGAGCTGAATCTTTCTCCGTTATGTACACACCATTCGCAACAAAAATGACAGCGGATAAAATAGAGAAAGTAAAAGAGGTTTTCACAAGAACCCACCCTGCATATGTGGATTATATCTACACAGGTAAGTTCCAGTGTCAGTTACAAGACCCACTCTCAGGTGATACTTTATTTCTATTAAAGCAAGTATAGAGTCCTTTCCGATTTGTTTAAGGTTTCTTTTCAGAGGTGTGCTATTTTCATTTGATTCACTGAAAGGGGAAGTTATTTTAAAATTTTAACTAGAGCTAAGAGATTGAGATTGTTAACAGTTTCCACTTGCTTGGCTCCACAATCAACACTCTTAGCACAAGCATTCAAGAAATCAAAAGATAAATTGCATTAGGAAAATCTGCTGTCTGGGACCTCTCTAGAGTTCTGAAGAGCAATGATGTCATCCTAGTGATTAAGGTATACCTGGTTCAGGCCACAGTCTCCACAATTAATTGCTATGCACCAGAAAGCTGAGCAATGACTAAGGATGACAGAAGAAGAATCAGTGCTTTTAATTGATTTGTGTAGTGATGCTGGAGAAGAGTATTGAATATATACCATGGATTGCCAAGAGAACAAATAGATTTGTCCTGGAGAGGATGAAACCAAACTTCTCCTTGGAGGCAAGGGTTTTAAAGCTCTGTCTGGCATATTTGGGGCATGTTGCCTGGAGAAACCCATCCTTGGAGAAAGACATCTTGCTTGGAAAGGACAGTGCAGGAGAGGAAGACGCTGGATGAAATGGATTGACATAGTAACTGGGATAATGGGGTTAGGTATGTGGAAGACAGTGAAACTGACTCAAGATAGGGCAATAGGGCACGGTTTAGAGCTATTGCACATAAAGGTTCGCCATGAGTCACACGTGAATTGATAACAGATAAGACATCTGACTCTGTATGATTAGGCCACTGTTACAGTGCTATCGTGTTCCTATATTCTAAGAGGAACTTTAGTTTTTAAAAGAGGAATGAACAGTATCATAGTCATCTAGTGTTACTGTAACAGAAATAGCCATTTCTGGGTGGCTTTAACAAACGAGATTATTTCTCATCATTTAGAGGCTAAGGGCACCAGCTATTGAGGGAGACTTTCTCTCTGGGAATTCCAGGGGTGTGTAACTTCTGGTTCCTTATAGATCTCCATGTGTCTTGGTATTTATTTACTTTACACCTTCTCTCTGTTCATTCATTTAATCTCTTTATGTTTCAAAAGAAACTGGTTCAAAATGCAGCCTACACTAATCCTGCCTCATTAGCATGAGAAAAACCACCAGGATTATGATAGCAGGTTGGGGACTATAACTCAATCCATAACAAATGCGTTCTCATTGTCAGTCAAATAGGTGATTATAGTAAATCTTTCTCCAATTCTTGATATTTCTACTTTCCTTCTAATGACTCAATGGATAAACTCTCAGCTATTAACTGAAAGGTTGATGATTTAAGCTTATTAGTGGCAAGCGACTTTGCTGCTGTCCCCACAGATATGGTTCAAGGCCACCAGCTGCTTTGCAGGAGAAGGATGGGTAATCTCCTCCCTTGTAATTAACTGCCTCTGAAAACCCACTGGAGCTATGGGTCAGTTCTGACTCAACTCAATCACTCTGAAGGAGAAAATGAATTCTATAAATACTGCAACCTTGAAAACACTATGGGGAGAATTATTCTGCCCTTTAAGGAGGCTGGACTTTATGGGGAGAAATGTGGCATCAGGATTGGAGGAAGACTTACCACCAACTTGTGTCATACAAATGAAACAACCTTACTTGCTGATACTGAGGAGGACCTGAGGTGTCTGATGTAGAAGGCCAAGGACAGTAATCTTCAATATGGATTGAAGCTCAACATCAAGAAAACAAAGATTCTCACCACTGGGCCAATTGGCACATCATGGTAGCTAGTGAAGAGATTGGGATTGTTAATAATTTCATCTTGCTTGTTTCCACAATCAGCAGTCTAGAAATCAAAAGATTAATTGCATTAGGAAAATCTGCTGTCAGGGATTTCTCCAGGGTACTAAAGAGCAATGCTGTCAGACTAGGGTGTACCTGATCCAGGCAACAGTCTTCGCATTTACTTGGTATGCATCAGAGAGCTGGAAAATTACCAAAGAAGACAGAAGAGTTAATGCCTTTGAATTGTGCTCAAGAAGAGTATTGAACAAGCCATGGACTGCCAAGAGAACAAACAGGTCTGTCCTGAAGAGGATGAAACCAAGCTGTTCTTTGGAGGCAAGAATTTTGAAGCTCTGTCTCACGCACTTTGGGCATGTTGCCAGAAGGGACCAGTCCTTGGAGAAGAAGGTCATGCTCAGAGGGGTGGAGGGATGAAAAGGAGAGGAAGACCTTGGATGGGATGGATTGTCACAGTAAATTGGGTAATGAGAGTAGGTGTATCAGAGACAGTGAGACTGGCTCAGGATAGAACAGGGTTCAGAGCTGTTGTGCATAAGGCCATTAGTCAACTTGACAACTTATAACAACAAAAACAAGTCACTGTAAGAATCAACTGAAAAGCAAGCACTTTGGGTCACCCGTTTTGGTGCTTCCATCAAATAATTGTGCTGTGAACCCCAAAGTTGCTTCTCTGGTGGTTCCAAACCAGCCATTCTGTGGGAGAAAAGCGGGCAGTCTCCTCCTGTCTGGTTTTCACTCTGTGAAGACTCACTAGAGGATCAGCCATGAGGTAGTTCCGACTGAGCACTCAGTAGTTATTTCATACCTCCAGCTTCTTTTTCTCATCCTCTAAGATCACCTGTGCTCAGGTAAGGTCTGGATCATCTAGAGTTCTGCAGTGGATGCAATACTGATAATATACTCCCTCCTCCTTTATCGTTGGGTACCACTTGATCTGATGGACTCACTCAAAATTCTTTTTTGTATTAAGTATGTGACTGACTCTGAGAAGAATGGGAATCCCAGAACATTTAATTGTGCTAATGCGAAAGCTATACTTGGACCAAGAGGCAGTAGTCAGAACAGAGCAGGGTAACACTGCATGGTTCAAAATTGGGAAGGGTGTACGCCAGGGATGCATCCTGTCTCCATACCTTTTCAACATGTATGCAGAGCAGATTATCCGAGAGGCTGGGCTCTATGAGGAGAATTGTGGCATCAGGATTGGTGGAAGATCTATTAACAATCTGCGTTATGCAGATGACACAACCCTGCTCGCTGAAACTGAGGAGGACCTCATGCACTTGCTGCAGAGGGTCAAGGACTGCAGCCTTCAGTATGGACTGAGGCTCAATGTCAAGAAGACAAAGATTCTCACCACTGGACCAATTGGCAGCGTCAGGATGGATGGCGAAGAGATTGAGAGTGTTCACAGCTTCAGTTTGCTCGGCTCCACAGTCAACACTCTTGGCACCAGCAGTCAGAAAATCAAAAAACGAATCACAATGGGAAAGTCTGCTGTTAGGGACCTCTCTAAAGTACTCAAGAGCAACGGTGTCTCTCTGGAGACTAAGGTGCGCCTGATACAGGCCATGGTCTTTGCAATCACTTGTTATGCATCAGAGAGTTGGAAAATGACTAGGGAGGACAGAAGGAGAGTTGATGCCTTTGAGCTGTGGTGCTGGAGAAGAGTACCGAAAGTACCATGGACTGCCAGGAAAACAAACAGATTCATCCTGGAGAGGATTAAACCAGGCTACTCCTTGGAGGCAAGGATTCTGGGGCTTCGTCTGACATACTTTGGACATGTTGCCAGGAGGGACGGGTCCTTGGAGAGGGACATCATGCTTGGGAGGGTGGAGGGACAGCGCAGGAGGGGAAGACCCTCTATGAGGTGGATTGATTCTGTGACTGGGATAATCGGGATGGGTGTGTCAGAGGCAGTGCGGTTGGCACAGGATAGAGCAGGGTTTAGGGCTGTTGTACCTAGGGTCGCTATGAGTCGAAAACGACTCGACGGCACATAACAACAAACAACATGTGTCAAGTCGGGAGCTTTTCTGACACGACGTTTAAGCTTTTGGCTGCTGAACAAGAGTCCAGTGGTTCAAACGACCAGTCTCTCTTCAGAAGGATGAGGCCATCTGCTTCCTAAAAGCATTACAGCCTTAGAGAGTCTATCATTTAATCTGTCTCATAAGATCACTATATGTCAGAGTCAACACCATAGCAGGAAGCTCAGTTTTTTGGCTTTGTCTGTTGTTGTTGTTGTTGTTGTTGTTGTTGTGTACCATCCAGTTGGAACCAGCTGGTTTTCAGAGGCAGTAAGACACATGGGAGGAGATCGGCCTATTCCTCCCACAGAGCAGGGGGTGGATTTGAACTGCAAGCCTTCTGGTTGGGAGTGTAACTCCTTACCCCTCAACCACTAGTTGAAGAACCACTAAACAATGGTGCTCTGGTGGTTTAGTGGTAAGAGTTTCACTTACAATCCAAAGGCACACAGTTCGAATCTACCAGCTGCTCTGCAGGAGAAAGATGGGCAATCTTCTTCCAAGAGATTTACTGCCTCTGAAAACCCACTGGAGAATCAGCGATGAGTTGTTTTCAACTAAACAGCTCATCGCAGCAACAATAACAACAACGGTGATGTGGTCGTCAGGGAGTTGGGTTTATTAACCCAAAGGTAGCGGTCCCTGCCTGTTTCTGACTTTGTGAAAAAAAGATGTACAGGCTCCTTCCATGTGATTTTCAGCCTCTGACAACCAGCTACGGGGCCAGTTCTGAGTCAGTTCTGATTGTACAGTAATGAGTGAGGGAGTGAAGAACGACCACGCCATCTGACACAAATCTCCAAAGCACCTTTTCCTAACACATTCTCCGTTGAGGGGACCCTCACTACTCTTTGTATGATTAGCAATGTCTACTGTTTATTTTTGGCATGTTGTCAGGGGAGGTCAATCCTTGGAAAAAAGATACTGTGATGGAAGAGCTAGTGGGTCAGAGAAAAAGAATACCCTCAACATGACGGGTTTGTAGTTACTGTATCAAGAGGCTCGAGCCCTTCAGAGGTGGGGAAGATGTCACAACCTAGGGAAGATTCCCTTTACAGGCTACTATAAGTCATAGCCAACTCGATGGCACCTAATAGTAATATAACATTATAGATCACTTGTAAAATTTTAAGGTCAAGT